TGACTCGCGCAATCTTCACGACTGTCTCGTCAGAAATTGACGGTCTCCCAGTTCTTTTTTCGTCATGTATTGCAGTACGACCAGATTCAAACTCCCTACACCACTTGCGGACGCTCTTTATGTCCATGCACGACTCGCCATACACTTCCACCAATTGACGATGAATTTCAATTGGTTTAGTCCCTTTTGCATTCAAAAACCGAATAACTGCGCGAATCTCACACTTCGCAGTTTTAGTAATCGGGAGCTCCATTTCTAACGGCAACCGTGCCAAGACTGAGCATCCTAGCTACATGCGCGCATGCTTGGTGGTATTGGGGGGAGTGGGGGAAGCAACGAATGCAACAGGGTTGCCAACAGCCGCACGAAAAATTACCCAGCGCTTTGGAGACCTTACTTTTGGAATCAGCTATGTACAACAGTTCTGGTAAATTTGACACCTTTTATAGAATTCTTTATGGTATGCAACCTGTTGTGTGTCATGCAACAGCATTAAATAGGGCCGTCTATACAACAGGAATTTTCTCTTCTCCAAGTCGTCCAGACAGGCTCTGGGGTCCACCCAAGCTCGTATCCAATGGGTACTGGGGGGGTTCTTTCCTGGGGGGTGGGGGGATACGGGCTAGCTCTATCTATTGGACCCAAATGAGTAGGTTTTACCTGACGGGGACAGAATCCAGTCTCTGAAATGTTGTGTTCTTAAAAAGAAACAGTACAGCTTTTAGAAAATAGACAAGACGATGGATAATGTCCAAAAACATAATACTTGTAGCAATATACCATTGTCGCAAACTTTAAGATTTTACAGGGACTTTGCCTTATACTACAATAACATCCACAAACAAAAAGATATCAATACTAACATATCAACATTCGTTTATTGCGCAAAGTTGTTTTGTTACATGTTTCGACCTTCATGAGATCATCATCAGGCAAATTTACAAGAATTCAATCTTAGTTCTTGAATTGTGACTTTTTAATATGGATCCATATTATTACAATTCATCTAATGTTGATAGCGAATATTTCCTTTTCATTAAATATAATCTAATATAAATAAAAATACTATAATAATACAGAGTTTTTAATTAATTATATATATAGCTAGGATTTTAATAATTTTAATAATGCAATTTTAACCTTAAAAATAAAATTTAATTTTAAAATTTTAAATTAACCACTCAAATTATGCTGATTTATAGAGCTGGTTCTAAATAGGCTTAAAATTAGAAGTAGTTTTTGGGGTCATCGGGTTGTGTGTTGTGGTCATAGTTATTAATTGATAAGTCATAGGATGATGCAATGCAAGGGGGCCTTTCCTGGAATCTGTGTCACGTTGATTTTACTTCTATTGGTTGTGTAATGGTCTCCCAAGCATTCTTTCTGTCACTCTCAGCTAGTTTTGTTTCCATGCAGTCTAGTTTAAATGCTTGTATGTTATGTGTATGCAAAGGGATCCCCAGTGTTGCTGTGTTCTTCAGCAGCTCTGTCTTAAGGAGCAATTGCTGATACATTAGTACCGACTTCTTTTTATTTGCATATATTACTGTTGTGTAGATGGCCCTATTAATGTTATTTTATTTAATTATTTCAAAAACTGTAAGACTTGTGGGAAAAGGTACTGGGTAGAAAATGCTTTTCAGTTTTCTCTACAACTTTTGATAGAACACTTTTCACTCTGACACAAGTACAGAAACACATGTGAATCATCATACAAAGCATTAGATGCTGTTGCCCAACTTTATCCATAGTTGGAATGTACTGAGCTTTGAAAAGAACTCCCCCATATAAAATTTCATAAATATTTGTTCAGCAGATCTTAATTCAGTTACTTGGGGGGGGGGTCCTAATCGGGTCCCCTCGGCACTGCGGTCACTGACTGGCCTATTGTAGCCTGCCCCGGGTGATTATGATGATGGAGAATTTGGTGGAATGAAGATTGGCAGGTAAACCGAAGTACTCAGAGAAAACCTGGCCCAGCGGCACTTTGTCCACCAGAAATACCACTTGACCAGACCTGGAATCGTACCCAGGCCGCTGTGGTGGGAAGCCAGTGACTAACCACTTGAGCTATGGTGCGGCCTCAATGGTCAGCAGATCTTGGTTGTTGCATGAGGGACAGCCTGTCAGACACAGCAAAGCTCACAGGTGCATTTTTGCAAATTTCTTTTGTGAACATGCCGAAAAGGGGGTGAATAAGTGACCAATAGGGAGATCATGGAGTAGGCAGAAAGACCAAGAGAAGCATAGTACATAAAGTAAGCAGGAAACAAGTGGGGAAGAAGAAAGAACACAATGAATACTCAATGTCAGAACTCAGCATCTGAGATGATAACTGCAAGTAGAGAATTTCTAACTTTAAGCAATTCACAACACTTCTTTCCATAGTCAGAAAACTTACCACTCCTTCACCTGTGCTGACAAGAACATCCATGGCATAAACTTCGTTTGTCGCAAATTCGTATTTCTCATGCTCTTTTTTCTGTGAATCACTTGGATTTTGAATTATGGTCTTTTCGCCATCAATCTTGAACTGCTTCAACTGGTGACTCAGCATCCCTTCAACAGGCTTGCATTTGTATGCCTCGCATACTTTCTGTACCGCATCTGTCACAGCATATGTCTGAAAATCAAGATGTTCATAACTTGAACTGCTTTAATATATTTATTACTTAGTTTGTAACAATGATGTCACTGATGACACTGCAAAACATTAGGATGCAAATGGCTGTGGCCTGTTCTGATGTATTATCTTGGCACCTGTCTGAGGAAAACCATAGAAGTCAGGACAGATAGCCTCTGGGCTAAGAAGTGTATCACAGAAACACGAGGCAGATGTACCTGGACTGGAGCATTTAGACATAATTACTGGGCTTTTGGAGTTTTTCAATCGTCGGGTATTCTAAAGAATAGAAAACACGTTTTGGAAACTGGATCTGTTTCCACCCTCAGTTGGGGGGGAGAAGACACCTACTTAGTTGGGCCCCTTAGAAAGAGCTAATCTCAATCACTGGACAACCCCTGTCAGATTTTACACGGCTATTCAATCACTTGAGGCCAGGCTAATTAGGTGGGAGATTAACAAGAAAATACACAATAAAAATCTGATAAGGGATGCACATGTGTGGAACTGGGACAGAAAAGGAGATGGAAATTTGTGCTACAAACATAACCAACAAAACCAAGTGCATGAGAACCAATGCAAAGGAATTGGGGTGGGGGAGGTGAAGACGTGTCATGTATTCTATTCTCTAGAATACCGGATGGTTGAAAAAATCCAAGAACTCAGTAATTCTGTGCTATACACCACCATCAGAACCCTTTAGAATCTACTGGAAGATTTGTTTTTATATATTACAGGAAAATAAATTATTATAGAAATTGGGATTTCAGTGAAGAGCAATACATATTGTAACATAACTATTTATTAATCGTCCATTGCATGGTAACGGCTGGTAACAACACCTAGCCCATTTCTAGGCAACAGCTGCTACAACATTCGAGGGCAATGTTAGAAACAGTGCTTTCTGTGCGTTTCATGTTAAGTTCAGTAAAATATGGTCATGAGTACCATGGGATTTGCAGCCAAGAATCACTGCGAATGCAAAGGTCAGCAACACTTTATTAGTCAATCAGTGAGTTGGAGCATCCCCATGTTGAGGCAGGTTCTCAAATACCCTCAGTATGTGTTCTTTACTGTTGCAAACAAAAATCTTACCCATATAAAACTACAAGCAAAATTATACTTCTGTACATCTTGAGCCTTCTGGTTTTGAATGGCAGACAATAAGTCAAAAGACTCTGAAAAGAGTGGGAGCAAGCATTCACAAAATTTGTGTGTTCTTAATCTGTTTGTGAATAGAACTTCAATTTGTTACTGCTGTTTCCCAAGTATCTTTAGGCACAATAGATCACTGTGGTCATGGTGCAAGGGCCAAAAGGCCCACCCCTTATACATTCATTCCCAAGTATCTTTGCCCCATTTTTCAAGGCTCTCTTAGTTATCTATATATGATTATTCTACAACACATTTTGGTAAAGAGCCATACTTAATTTTCTGTGTTTACTTCTAGACAAACAGCCTTAGTAGTATCTAATCGAGAAGGTACTGTTCACATATATTTGTGCAATAAATTACAAACAGCACATCAGAACGGTAATTTCACTCATCCAAATCACATTCCTTCTAATATTCTTGGTTCTTCTTAATGGTGAATCTAAACAGAGTTGAAAAGCAATGACAATAAAGCGTCTAATCATCTCAGATCATTCAGCATCAAGAAACTTAACAGATGTTTACCTACAAGGTGTGTCCCAAAAGTCATGAAATATATATATTAAATTTATTGATGATATCGATACACAGTGTTAATATTCTTCAAAGTACTGTCCATGGGCATCTACACATTTTTTCCACTGACTCTCCCATGCCTGGTACGCCCCCTCAAGGGCCTCGATGGGAACCTCATTTAAAGCTGTTGTCACGGCCGCTTGGATAGCCTGAATGCTTTCAAAACGGCGTCCTTTGAGTGCAGTCTTGATCCTCGGGAACAAAAAGAAGTCAGCCGGATCAAGGAAGGGGCTGTATGGTGGCTGCGGCAGCGTTGCCACGTGGTGCTTCGCCAGGAACTCACGTACAAGCAGAGACGTGTGGCTGGGCGCATTGTCATGATGCAGCCGCCAGTTAGCAACGATGTCTTTTCACACGCGGATGACCCTTTTCCTTAATCTTTCTAGAACATCCATGAAGTAGGGAGCGTTGATGGCCTGTCCTTGGGGTAAAAACTCTTTGTGGACCATACCCTTGGCATCGAAAAAGACGATGAGCATTGTTTTCACTTTGGATTTGCTCATCTTCGCCTTCTTCAGTTTCAGGGAAGCACAGGTGTGCCATTCAGCACTCTGGCACTTTGTTTCTGGGTCATACTCAAATGTCCACGTTTCATCACCGGTAATAACACAGTCTAAATAATGAGGTTCAATTTCCACACGTTCCTTCAATTCACTCATGATCAACACTCGATTGGCCTTTTGCTCGTCCGTCAACAATTTGGGGCCCAGCTTGGCGCACACCTTTCACATGTTCAATTCGTCCATAACGTGCGACGCACAACGGTTTTTGGAATGTTCAGAGTGTCGGCTAACAACCGGACAGTCATTCCACGGTCAGTATTCAACAAATCATACACACGAGTCACATTTTCATCGGTTTGGCTTGTTGATGGCCGTCCAGAGCGGGGGTCATCTTCCACTTCTTCCTGGCCCTCCTTAAACTTCTTCACCCACCTTGTAACTTGCACATATGATAGAGCAGACTCCCCATAGGCTTGCTTAAGCAGTTCGTGAGTTTCAGCAGCTTTTTTGTTGAGCTCTGTGCAGAACTTGACCGCCCTACGTTGTTCAAAAGTATCCGCCATCGCGTGCCGTGACCTGGTCACAAAACACAGGTGCACTAAATCAGCGATACTGATGCCTCCGATGCTCGAGCAGACTGACCTTGGGTGCGCTGTGAAGCTAAAGGCCTCCCCCCCTAACCCAACCGGTTCCAGCGCACTCTGACCAGTAGGAGAGCGGGAAAGAAATATATTTCATGACTTTTGGGACGCACCTTGTATACACACTTTCTTAAGTCTATAAATTGCTCATTTACTGTTTCATTGTTAGATATATTCCTGTTAAATGGTGTTTCTTGATGTTTACACTTTCTGCCAGAATTCCATGTACAGGTGTCATGACAAGGTCCCATGGTCAGCACAGCTTTAGATGTACTGTGTCTGCAACTAAGAAGTCATAACCTGGGTCTGAAATTCTCACAGCACTGGCTTCGAAGAATATGGTCTTTTTGGGTTGCAGTCTGGAGACAATCCAATGTTTTGGAGGGACACATTGCCTCCATCATCAAGGTCAAAGGGTAAACCAAATAAGCAACAAGCAGAAGAAAAGAGCTAAGTTTGGCTTACACTTTGACCATGAAGAAAGAGGCAAGATGTCTGACAACTCTCACTGAACTACATGCCATTACAATCCAGAAGGAATCAACCAAACAATAAATCAACAGCTCTGACAGCAATAATTGGCTGACTTTTGGACCATATTCTCATGAGTTATATCACACAGACTGGTATGGTTACCAATGTTTTGGAGCAATATACTGTCACCAACATCACTTCTATCCTGAGAATGTAGGCAGGTTCCTTTGAAACTTTGGAAATCACTTACCAGACTATACAGTGTCACAGCCACATCATCACTCCCAGGAACACCTCAAATCTCAGTAGAATGACAAACAGTCCAACAATATTATGTAGGTCATTCATGAGGAAAGTTATGTTACCCTTTTATGTATTACTTCAGCACAGGTGTCCAAAAGCAACCCGCCCTCAATCTCTCCACACAATCAGCAGAACAACTTGGACATCTGTCCTTGTGATAAACCACTGGTTTGATTCCCTCAGAGATGAAGCAAGACTCACTGTCTGCACCCACCATTTCACCTCGGCTTTCATATTTTAAACATGTCGCAAGCCTCATCCTTCAACCAACAGTGGAAATTTCTATGCAGTGTCCAGGGTGAATGGTGGATGGGAAACAACATTCCCAGCAGTCTGTGGAGATGTTGCTGCAGACATTCTGGGAAGCATTCTTCTCCTTCAGTTCCTGGACCACAGACTAACAGTGAAAGCCGAGGGGCACCGGTGGGCCCAAGCACTGGACCCTGACTTCCCGCCTGCATGAAATGAATGGTTAGTGCATTGCTGGAACATATCTCAGTTGATCTGGTGATTAAATGGAAAAAAGAGGATCTGTCTGTTATTCTTTTGTACAGCTATGTAACACACCTTCAGACATTACTCACTGAACACTCCTTGCAGAATCATGTCGCAACACCTGAGCATACTCACATCATTGCCAGGCTTCAGGAGGCGCAGAGCAGCCTGTGACGCATAGTGAGCTGCAAGAACAACATCCGCCCGCCGGCCAGTCACTTTAGCTTCACTTGTGGCTCCAAGAACTATTGTGTGGGCCACGACTGCTATGAATCCATCCACATGTGCACCCAGGTCACTGTATGGCATATTATACATGACTAAGATATTGGTTACTCATATCTAATCAAGATTAGAACAGTTCACATATGAAGAACATACTCTTCTGGGCTGTTATGCGATGCAGTGAGGTAATCAATGCTTCAGCGGGATACACAGCCATCATCTTCAGGGCCAAAAAGTAAGCCAAGCAAGCACTCTTCAACTCCAAAGAAAGTGGCAATTTTTGCTTGAATACGTTGGAAAACTTCTGGCAGATTACGTGGCATGAAATCCCAGCAATTACCATTGTCAGAACCTTGTTATCTTATACAATTCACACGTGCACTGTCAATAATATCTGACAGCTTAATATTCTGAGGATATCTTAGATTGTCTGCAAAGGAAATAATGTTTCTTGTGTTGGATTTGAGGTTCTCATGGTGGCGACTATGAGGAGTACCGCTTTCCAGGTTGAAATGCGGTGAGCTTGGAGACAGCTCAATGTTTTGGAGGAATATACAACCTCCATCTTCAAGGCTGAAAAGTAAGTAAAGCAAAAAGCAGGCAGCAAGGCAACTAACCATCATGCTAGACCCAGCCCATCTAAGGTTGTAGGTAACTGTATTAGAGCGCGGCCTCCATAGCCTAGGGGTAACGTTCCCACCTCATGACTCAAGGTATGTGGAAAAGGGCAGAAAAATTCAGGGAACAAGTCCTCCGGGAGGGACTTTAAGCCGTGGGCCCTGTGTCATAGATTTACAGCACGTAAAAGAACCTCATGTCTCTAGGAGACCTGAGCTAAATTTGGCCAAAAAGTTTCCCGCCCAAAGTAGTTTCCAATGCCTCCGGTAGATGGGGGAAGTATTAGGTACCACTGCCAGAGCAGGGGGGACCTCTCTGACAGAAAGGGACTAACTATTAGATACCACTGGCAGTAGAAGGCTGGAAACTCGCTGGCACAAATGGGCTGATAGTAAGCACCAGTACCGGTAGGGTATGGAGACAGTAGAAATTAAAAGGGGGATGCACAATGGACCAATAACTGGTCTAAGTGCATGGGGAAGCCCACCCCCTCAATACTGAATATTGAACTGTATTAGAGCCTTTTCTGTTCTTGTTTTGGCAACACCATCCTAGCTCTTTGCTGCTGCCCTCTTGCTTTCATCCCATCCCAACTTCTTCCCCAGACAACGTACGTATGACCTCTCCATGCCAACTTCAAACCATTGCTGCATAATGGCCCTTTTCAAGCCCCTCTTGCACACAGCTGTCACCCTCCACCAGCTATATCGCCATTCCTTTCAAGGCTTGGTCTGACCTATACCAGGGCGGATATCACACTTGCTTCTGCCGCTTTCTTTCTTTCTTTCTTTGGTTACTCTTCAACCATGAAGATGTTGGCGATATGTTCCTCCAAAACATCAGGCTCTCTCAAAGCAACATGGTATTACAACCACGTCTAGACTGACAACCATTAAAATTTTGGAAATCACATACATAACCAATCTAACCAGAATTTATACATTAATGGGTTACCCAAATAACTTTACAACTTCACCACGACACCACCAAGCTCTGTGCCACATAAGTGCTGCCAACCATAGAAACATACCTATAAAAAATCAGAAGCCTGATCTTAGAATTTGGCTCCAATTAGTCCTGAAGGTTAGGTCTTTGGTTCTTTTGAAACAGCCAAGCTTTCAGTGCTGTTTTTAGAAACAAATACATAAAGACCACCTAAGGGCACCCGTCAAGTTTTGTTTTTACAAATAAACTTCTCCAGTAATGAGCACTAACATGGCACTCAACTATTTAAGTTGCTTGGGTCACCTGTTAATATGTCTCATGTTAACCTGTAACATAATACATATTGGATATATCCTACAGAAAATGTTAAATATCATATCCAATTTATAAAAGGAACTCCTGAGAAATTAAGGCTAAATGTATGTCAAAATATACAACACACATAATGAAACAGAAATAAAGTGAGACCTCACTAATCCGGAGCAAACCCTCACCAAAATTAGTGAAAGTCCAAATTACACGAATGTACATTCAAGGAAACTACAAAATGGACGTCACGGGTTTTTTAAGCAGTACAACTTTATATTTTGAAACTTAAATTGCATATTATAGAATAATTTTACCTGTTATAGAATACAAAAATGCAAGCTCCAATATCAGTCTTGAAAACATTTTTCGCAGGAGCAATGTGATCATCAAGGTCGTAATGCGCAAAAAAAAAACACAGCTGTCCAAATTATGGTGGATTCCGAATCGGTGAGGTTTCACTGTGATATCATTTCAAGATTTGAGGTTTTGTTCTTTCTGCAGGCAGGAAGTGCAACAGGTACAAGCTTTAATGATTCCTTCTTTCTTACAAACTGTTTACATTGTTCTTCCATTCAAAGGCTAGAGATATAGCAAATCTGTTAAGATACAGCAATACAGTCACATCTTTTCTTTGAGTTACAATACTCATCTGTGCAGTTCTCTGTCACAGTAGTGGGCTATACATGCACTGTTCTCTCCGTGCACTTCAATAGTTACACAGAACACCGTGGTCAAAGTCTGTGATAGATCAAAACTGTAGTCAACAACGAATGCAGAAAAGGAGCCCAAAGTGAAGACCAGTGTCTCAAAAAGTATGATGAAAACGTGTTAGTGAGTAAAAACCTTAAGAAATATACACACTAGATCTGGAATGAAATCTCTCTACCACCTTGGCCAAAATCTGCCTTCTTATCAAAACATAAGTCATGCATTCATGTAAGATATGCTATCTGTTGTGTCATGAGGTACATTAATTTACCATTAATAAATACATTTAAATGCAGTTTTAACTGGCAGCTGACTGTGACTGATGAATGATACCATTAAAACATTACCATTAGAAGTCAACACAACAATTCAGTATGCAGTTAGATCACAGCCGACTCTCCAGTACCCCATCGCTAACATCTCCCTAAGTATCCTAATCTCCACATTTCATTCTAATTGTGAACCAATCCCATACAAATCCAGACACACACATTTGGCTTATTCTGTAACAGACAAACACCCAGCCCCAGAGTCCATAAAACCAGCTATCCACTACAGCATCACCCTGATTTTATACAGCCAGCCACAACAAAGCAAAGCAATAACCACCCTGCACCATAAGCAAGACTACTCGAAAGTATGTAGAATTTTGAAGCGTATTATCTTCTGGGATCTAAACTGCAAGTACCCTGTGGAAAAACAACTGATATTCTGATGGAACATGACACCTCCATCTTCACAGTCAAAGAATAAGCCAAGCAAGAAACCAGCTTATTTTTGGACCCTGAATATGGAGGCGAAATGTTCCTCTGAAACGTCGCTTGACTTTCAACAGAATATGTATGTATGTATGTACGTATGTACATACAGTACATCGGCTCAAAGATGGCAGTAAGGTTGTCAGCCTTACGCGCCGGCAGCGTTTTACTCCCCAGGAAAATTATTATTTAATTCCTGGTATTCATTTCTGTTAAGAGGCTGAGTAAACCCCAGGGCCTAGTGAAGCTGGAAAGATTAGGTCAACTGAAAAAATCCAATGACCTCATCGGGATTTGAACCCGCGACCTTCCGGCTTGGAATAATAATAATAATTGGTTTACTTACACTTTCACAACATCTTCATCCTTCAGTGTGTAGTCAGCCTCACTGGGGACTGGTGAGAAGTGACAAATACAATTATTCACTGACACACACGTTGGAAATGCAATACCTGAAAGTGACAGGAATTTATCTTGTAACACTTTGCATAACAGTGATCAAGTACTACTACTTCTGTATTTCACGGTTTACAAACTCTAATTCATGCAGAAGTGTATGCCACTAAGGCATGCACAGTTGAGAATTCAGATAGAAACTACAAAAATAGGAATCAGACAGTCATGCTGCAATTAAAGCACTTGGTACACACCAAATCACTTCAAAATTGGTTTGGGATTGCCACCAATCCCTCACACAATTGGCCAGACGTAACAGAGTACAACTGATATGGGTGCCAGGCCATGAGAGTACTGCTAGGAATGAAACTGCAGATCAGCTGGCTAGAACAGGATCTGAACAACCGTTCATAGGACCTGAACCAGCTTACGGCATCTCAGTTGGAGTTGCCAAGAAAGCGATCAGGGACTGGACTAACAGAAATCACAAAAAACACTGGAAATCCACAACTGGACTCAAACAAGAAAAAGGATTTATATCAGGACTCTCTGCCAGAAGAATGAGGAACCTGTTAAAATTAAACAGAGATCAATTAAGATGGGTGGTAGGATTACTTACTGGACACTGCCACCTAAAAGCGCACCTTTTCAAACTGGGGCTGACAGACGACCCAGCTTGTGAAACGTGCCTACAGGAAGATGAATCAGCCACATACATCTTATGTGATTGTGAGGCTATAGCTTACTCAAGATATCACCACCTGGGTCAGTTCTTCATGGAACCAAGTGACTTTTATGACTGCCCCACAAATAAAGTCCTACATTTCATTCGAAGTGTAGGATTAATAAAGAGTTACTCCAAAGGGGAAGCATAATAGATGACTGAAGGTCACAGTGCAAGGGCTGGTTTCTATGGTTCACCCCTCATACTCATACTCAACTCTCATTCATGCCATGAAAATCTTACTTTATTATATAAAAACAGAATTATTAACTCCACAGAGCTGAGCCCTTTTTCAGAAGCTGCCAGTTGCCCAGCTACTCAAGAATTTCCTGCTTTATGGAAGTCAAAGGTTAATTACAGTGTTCACAAGAACCCTCCAATGATCCCTATCCTAAGTCACATCAATGCAGTCCATACCAAATCATTCTGAATTGCTAATATTTATCTTAATATTATCCTCACACCGTCTACGTATTCCTAGTGGTCTCTTTTCTCCTGGCTTTCCCACCAATGTCCTATATACACAACTCTTAAATAAACTGGTGGCTTACCTTTCTTCAACTCTTTTTCTTTCTTAAAGACTTTTGAAGTCTCCTCTAACAATAAACCATCTCCAAATTCGCAGGTTTCACGAACTGAGGCACCAACAACACACTTATCAATTACTTGCTTTAGAACTCCTGGAAAAAGAATTCAAGCATTCTTACGCTTTGCATAATATGTATTTCACATCACTATCATCTCGGTCATCCTTCAAGCTACTGGAATTGTGTTCATATGTTACATGCTGTTACGCCACAATTATTACAAGTAATCTCAATTCACCAAAACACGAGGTAAAACATAGCGTTCTCCTAACAAATTGCCTGCACACATGGCACTAACCACTTACATCCAACCTAAGCATTCCATATGGGCAGTGATTACAACACTCTTCAGTAAGTCCCGTGGGCAATTTGAATAATCGTATTCAATTATACGTGCCTCATCTCATTGGTTACTTACGGTTTACTATGTCAGCAGCCATTTTATACTTGGTGACAACCAAGTCTTCTGCAATAGTTTTCTCCGGCTCTTCCTTATCCGCCATCTCTTCGTCGATATGTACAGTCACGTGACATCACAGAAGCGGGAAGTCTACCACGGTCACCACCGGTCCCACCGGTCACAACGGTCAACCAAACCACAGAAGAGCCAAAGACAATCAAGTATAGAACGTATAGAAGGGCCGCATACGTGCCAGTAGGAAGGCAAGGATTTGGCGCTAAACGTAATAACAGATTCTACTTCATCCATTTAAATTAGAGCAGGCGTTTACACTTAACTGTTTATGAAATTTTCATTAATACATCAAACTCCCATACATTCAAATTCGAAGGCAAGATCTTTGCGTAAAACGTAGTAACAGATTCTGCTTTAAGCATTTAAAGTAAAGCAGGCGTTTACACATAACTGTTTAGGAAATGTTCATGAATACATCAAACTCACAAAATATCTGTAATCTTTCAATTGGCCTTTGTCAGTACATCCGTTACCAAACAAACAGATGTGTCTGGGTGTAATATTCCCGAATTGAGTGGACTGAAGAAACCTCATTGGTTAAGTCACGAACTTTGTGGTACTTCGCAATTTTGTAGTTTTGATGTCTGATATATTTTTAAATTTGAATGTATAAGACAAAGTTTGAGGAAACTACAAGGATTTTAATTAATACAGAACAAACAGATTTCCAATAACAATTATGTTCAAGATTGTGATCCAATATTGATATTAATTTTTAAATTCCATACCCATAACATTAGATTTGGAGGTGCGTGGTCAGCTCAGGCCCCAGGGAAGCAGCGTCTGACACCCACTGTAGTGCAGGCTGGGTGTGCCGTAGGGCCAGTCAAGGCATTAAGTAGAGAAAAATTTCTTTCACCTGACATAAATGGAACCCCATACCTCCAGCCCATAGCCCATCACTACACTGATTCAGCTATCCTGATTTTTCTTATATATGAAAGATATTAAAACATTCCCATTTCATTTATCTAGACAGGAAGTAATGCAATTATGGGTTTGCAAAATGTAATTGTGTAATGAAATGCTGTCAGTCTGAATGAAATCAGTCTACATGTATGAAGTAACATTTACAGTATCAGCATTTTCCCCTAGAAGCACATTTTTTTTCTGAACAGAACACACGTGTATGAAGGCCCACAGTATATTTACAATATTGAATGTTTCAATGATACACATATCCTTAGAACATTTTAAATTTCTGGCAACAGTCATATTTCATTTGGTATTCCAGATCTTCTGAATAAGAAGATACCATACATGGATCACTATCACTATAGTAAATGACACAGATTTCTAGCATAACCTTTTCAAGTGCGCTTGTACAGTGCATTCAGTTAAGGAGGAAACTTCTCAACACTGCTGACCTGACCCAACATTCCTCACAGATTGCTACTGTAACTGCTGATAGCAGAATGAGTCATTAGCGGTGACAAATGCACCTCATTACACTTACAGCAACAATCTGTGGGGAATATTGGGCCCGGTCAACGGCGTTGATTGAACATCCTGTATTAATGTAAAGATATTAATGTTGGTGCATCATAATAGGAGCTAGGTATGATGACAGTTTTTCACTTGGCCAAATTGTCAGAAATGCTGTACTTCACTTTCCCAGTCTACTCATTCGTACACTGTTTACACCTGTTGTAGTCCTCACTAGTCATTGCTCAGTTATGTTTTTCAATGATAGAGGTCCTTCTGCTCTCATGCTTATATTGTTGCTGGCTGGCTACCATGTCACAATTAACTGACGGCTCCAACAACTAGTCATGACTAGCTAACTTTTCATAACGGCCTTTTTTACATACCCTCAGCATGGACTGCACAGAAAACACTGCTTCCAACAGTCCTCTACTGTTGCTTGCATATCCGTTGCTAGAGACATATGTTTATCAACACTCGGTTATCATGCTAAGGTTCTGTAAACGTGAGATGGAAGTTCTGAAACTGTGTAAGTTCAAGCTACCATAGCAACAAACTGTTGAGTATTAACACATTGCATAAGTAAAAGTTATGAACAAGTAAGTAGTCGAAGAAAGCAGTCTTCTGGGATTTGGCACCGTGTATATGTGGTGTTAACCGATGTTTCGGTTCTCACGGTCTCTTCGCTTGCGGATTTCTTATATTTTTCCTTCTACCCTGAAGATGGAGGCGATACGTTCCTCTGAAACGTCGGTTAACACCACATATACACGGTGCCAAATCCAAGAAGACTGCTTTCTTCATAGTCGCCGTGAAAGCCTCAAATTTTACATAGCTTATGGTTATCTGAAAAAATCCAATGAATGCTTATATGCAACCCAGGTTCAAACCTGGCAATCTCTGCCTAAAACTCTGAGGGTATGTGATACCCTGAATAGGCAACTTTACAGGAAGAAAATCCCTGTGTTCAACCACATCTCTCTTATGGGAATTTTGTGTCTCATCATGTGCTTAAAATGCTACCCACTTACTTTTAATAATGATGTACAGCAAAATCGGACAGACGTTTAACGCCCAGTACATCTATACTCTGATGAACTTAATATTGCTCTGCTTTGATGGATTTTGATAACACAAATTTCAAGGTTCTCAGGGTGGTACCATGCTGCTTGATTGGCTTCCTTAAGATGAAGGTAACCCATTCCTCTAAAATGGCAGTGGACATTTATTACACTACAATGCATAATGTGACAGCATATGCTACTCTTTGGCACAAATATCTGGCAATTATATAAATGACTTTCAGTCCACTGAGCAGGGTTCTTCAGAACCTGACAGATGCTAAGATACCACAGAACCCGAAAGTACATTACCATGGTCATGTGAGCACAAGTGGATCTTGCCCTAGGTCAGATGAATCATCCTCGAACTCTATTTCCTTAAGATCACTTTCAATATTATCCTCCTGCCTATGCCTGTTTAGCAAGTGGTCTCTTTCCTTCAGGTTTTCCATCCAAAATTTTGCACAAGTTTCTCATGGCCACGAACTGGCCCACTTGTCTCCTATCCTTATGATTTGATAATCCTAATATTTAGTGAAAATGCAGGTTAGGAAGCTCCTAATTATGAAAATTTTTCCATCCACAGTTGTGAATCTGAGGACCTACTATTCTTCATCCCCTGCTTATATGAAAAGAGGTTTACAGATCAACCAGGGAAAAGCAAAATACAAATATATGGTAATAACTAAGAACACCAGTGTAGGTGGCCCACCTCGATAGAAATTGATTATAAATTTGAAACTGCTTAATTTCATTTACTTGGGACCAGAGGTCAACTGCAAGAACGACATTAGCACATAGATAAAAAAAAAACATAACCTTTCTGCGTGTAGATGTTTTTATGGGCTTAAGAAACATTTACAAACAAAACTGATCTGAAGGAAAACTAAATTGATGTACAGAACACATATGAGACCAGTATTAACATATGCCTCTGAGATCTGGATGCTATCCAAGGAAGATGAAAGATCATTAGATTTACATTAAAGAAGAGTTCTCAGATGTATTTTTTAAGCAGTGCTGGATAAGGGTACATGGAGGAAGAGACAAAATCATGAATTGTGTAATCTATTTAATGAGTTAGATATTATTAAACATATAAAATGAACATATTAAACTTGGCTGGGCATATTATACGAGGCTCGTCCACAAAGTAAGTTTCCCTGGGGCCGTTTGCAGAAACAAAAAATAATTTCATGGAAATATTTATTGCAACAGATACAGCAAGTATTCAGCTATTTTTCAACATAACTGCCACCGAAACTGAGACATCTGTCATACCGTGGGACCAACTTTTGAATACCTGTGTCGCAGAAGTCTGCTGCCTGGGATTGGCACCACTGTGTGACAACCATCTCCGCCTCTCTCATTCTCAAAACGCTGATGCTCACCAGACAGGAATTTCTTGAGGTGTAGGAAAAGATGGAAATCACTGGGAGCGAGGTCCGGGCTGTAGGGCGAATGATGAAACACCTCCCAGCTGAACTCCTGCAGGAAACTTGCTGTCCGTCGAGCCGTGTGCGGCCTAGCATTATCGTGCAGGAAGACAATACCGGCACTAAGCATCCCACGCCGCTTGTTCTGAATGGCCCGTCGCAATTTCTGCAGTGTTTCACAGTAGCGCTCAGCATTCACCGTCTCACCTCTGGTCAGGAAGTCGACGTGGAGTCCCAGAATACGGTGAACAACAGGTGCTCCGTGACAATTTCGTGCAACAAGGAGCGGAAAATCTGCGGGACATGACTGCTGAGTTCTGTAATTGTGACACGACAATTCTCCATAATGCGTTCCCGCACAAGCTCCACCAGGGCATCTGTAATGATGGATGGCCGCCCACTGCGCTTCTCATCATGCACACTTTGTCGACCTGCTGAAAACTGCACCAGCAAAGCACCATCTCCTTGCTCATGACGTTAGACCCATAGACCCAGCACAGCTGACAATGAATTTCGATCGGCGCTATGCTCTGTGCATTCAAAATCTTTATCATTGACCGCACTTCACAGTTGGCGGGAACTGGAATAAGAGCCTCCATCTTCAACAGCTGCAATGATGGTACTACGGGAATGCGGGAAATTCCATTAGTGCATGCGCCATGCTACGTTATTGCTCTATCACGTAAGTGCAGTCACTTCGCGCAATATAAGGTCTGCTAGGTGTGGGATGAGTGGGAAACTTACTTTGTGGACGTGCTACGTACATATGGACAATAGTAATGAAGTCAAGAAGTTGTGTGATACCAGACCTGAAGGGACTAGGAAAACTGGAAAGCTCAAACTGAGATGGGAGGATGGCATGACCAAGATATCAGGGACCTGGGAATGTGCCTATGAAAAGAGAGGACTGGTTGAAGCATCTGAAGAAGACCAAGGCCCACACAGGACTGTCGAGCTGATGATATAGAGGTCAACTACAATATCTATTTTTATTTATTTCATTTTATCATATCCTTAAGATAGAATTTAAACATACCATTTCATATTCAGTTTCCATACTAAACTGTCATACTATCACTGAACACACAACTGTATCCATGGACCAACTTCAGCTGCTGCTTCATCTGTGATATGAATACCTGTACCTCATCAGTAAGTGATGTAACAATTATGCCACCAGTGCAAAGCAATGTTTTGTAATGCAACACTGTGTAGTCTGGTAGAAGTCCACTAATGTTTAAGAGAAATGTACTGCTTCCATCACTTTGTTGTTGATAGCTATCAGGGTGAGAGAGTAAGCCTCGGATGTATGAACAAGAAGTGGGCAACAACTGTTTCTTCCTATCATCCTAGCTTATTCTTTGACTCTGAAGGCGGAGGCAGTACATTGTTCCTAAACCTCAGTGGGCCTCTAACAAACAACACAGCACTTCATCCCAGCAAGATAATACTCTTCAAACTGCTGTGAGAACCAGAAATTCAGATTTCTATAGACTGTTTCCATCATACTGCTGGTATTCACACACCAATGAGAAATTCAAACACATTCAGTTAATGCTCCTTTCACCATGTGACAGAGGTGTGTGGATGCTGTAAAGGGACTGTGAAATCTGTACATATATACAGTATAATGAAATAATATTAATATACTACATTACTTTTATTGGGAATTCACTTACTCATTCATTCATTCATTCATTCATTGAGTTCAGCCCTTCTTGAGAAGCTGCCAATTGTGGAACTCAAAGGTTCATTACTGTGTTCATAAGAGCCCTTCACTGGTCCCTATCCTGAGCCAATCAATCCAATCCATACCATCCTCTCTCTCCAAGATCCTCTTTAATATTGTCCACCCACCTAAGTTTTGGTCTTCCCAGTGGTCTCCTTCCTTCCGGCTTTCCCACTAATATCATGTATTGCATTCCTCCTCTCTCCATTCATGCTTTATCACCTGCCCATCTCATCCTTCTTGACTTGATCATTCTAATTATACTTCGAGAACAGTAAAAGTTATGAAGCTCCTTGTTATGCAGTTTTACATTTATTGGGAATTACCTTATAATTTTGATTAAGAAATAATACTTGTCTAATATACACGTGTTTTTTAACTCCATTTTTCAGCACTGAAACATTCTCACTTTAAGAGTTTTGCTAAATGTACACCAACATCTACAAGCCCACAAATCCCATCACGATGTTCTTTTCCTGATGGTGTCGATATGGGAAGTGCTCACATTTCTTTGCCCACAATTACAGATAACATGAGATTTCCTAATGTTCTCACAGGAATGATACTTTTTTTTTGCACTTATTCACCAACTACAAGGGCTTCTTTCAATTGCTTTGAGGTACACTGAGATCAACTGTTTTGCTCAGACATTACTGTCTAATGCAGATAATGAGAGCCAGTTATATCAGATATGAAACCCCCTCCACCTCCTTCCTCATCCCAAATATGCATCATTACTGTTTACAGTGTCAACATTACTCTTTTTTTTTTAACATGAAGACAAAGCCCAAATCATACTACATTAATGAAATGTTCAAAATTTTATTTATGGTACATGATAAAGAGATAAATGACCTTTACAGACGTGCACAGAAAATAGTTACTATAGTCATGTGCATATGTGACTATTGACAGGGTTTTGGAATGGTAAATGGATTTATTGACCACCTATACACACGACTCAGAATTATAAGCAATTACAGTGCCACGGCTGTCTCCACAATTCACAAATCACCACGGCACCTGCTAAACCTCTTCCAAGTGCTGTGTCTTCACCAGTGGAGATTCTTCAGCTTCACGTACTCAGGTTCTGTCTTCACAGACTCCCATGCAGAATGCCTAACAACTGACTTTGTCCCTTGCTTATAACATCTCAGCATGGACAAAGTAGGAACACCCCATTCCCAGTAGTAATTCTATTGTTGTGTATATTCGTTGCTGTGGGAACGTGTTTACTGAGCTGCAGCCCAGAAACAGTCGTTGTTTATGGAGTCACACTTAGCAATGGGTCCATACACCACAATATATTGTGACGTGGATGGCACAACAGGAAGTAGAGGTCACGTGAACTCTGCGGTCTTGCGAGTGACGTCACATACCCCCACTCCTTCCATCATTACGCCACGCTCAGTAAACACCCCTCCCCGCAGTGATGTAACAGCACGTCCCACAGGGGACACCGTGGATACTATGCAGCAATAAACAACTCTTGGCAGCGTTCCCCAGCAACACGTGTAAACATTTTTCTGTGTTGTCAGTGCGGAAGCTACTAGAGTGAGTGACTAGTGAGCATTGAGTAACCAGCCAGTTTCAGTCTAGCAGTCACCAGGAGCAGTAGAAGTAATTGTGATACTGCAGATGGCAGTACTTGTGAAATTGTGAATTGTATAAGTGTAAGAGTGAATGTGCAATAAATTTGCTATATCCAAGACAGCGTGAAGTTATTTTTCGCATTATACACCCAACACGTGACAATATATATTACCAGAAAAGGCTTCAAATAACACTAATGCTGGTACCCATGAACTAATAATACAGTCTTGCTGATGTTCCTCAGTTAAATTGAGTATATACTATCAGAGAAGACAGGGTGTGCTCTGCTTGGTACAATGACCATATTACACTACACGCAAGACATATTTAAACCAGATATACAAGGTCCAACAATTTCACTCCCTGAATGGCTGCAGTCTGTTGCTGTGGTGTTGAGTCAGGCAAAATCATGTACCCAGGCACGTTTGGACATGTTCCAACTTGCGTTTACATGAGCCACAGACCAAATGAGTTGTTCGTTCCCAAGAAGCATAGGAGCAGTACATGTCCGCGGTATACTGTTGGCGGAAAAATGAGTAACAAGAATCTGGAGCAGTGGATAAACATCAAGTTTTGTGTGAAGATTGTTAATAGTGCATGTGGAATGTTAGCCCTATTAACATTGGCTTGTGGTGAATAAGCTATGAAGAAATTGAGTGTTTTTGAATGGCATAGGCGATTCAAGGAGGCAAGATGATGTGCAAGATGACCCAAGAAGTGGGCAGCCAAAAATGCAAAGGTGGACAGAATACAAAAGGTGAATCAACAGTGTTATTTGGAAGTGCTGACAAGGTTATAGGAATCTGTTCAGAGGAAAAGACCCAAACTCTGGCCTGAAAAGTGTCCACCATGACAATGCTCCTGTGCATGATGTGTAAGAGTTTGCAGGTTCCTAGCTAAGAAATCCATTACAAAAATGGATCATCTACCTTATTCAGCTGACTTAGCCCCCTGCGATTTTTGACTCTTTCCAAAATTAAAAAAAATGCCCTGAAAGGACAAAGATTTGCTGACATTCCTGACATCCAATGCAATGTGCAGTTACTGCAAAGTATTCCAGCAAATGATCTTCAAGACTGATTCTGGCAGAGGCACCACGGTCTCACAAAGTGCACAGCTTCACAAGGAGAGTATTTTGAAGGTGACAGCAGATGCTAGTGCACTTACTTACTTCCTTACTTATGGAGCTGAGTCCTTCTTGAGAAGCCAAATCTGCAGCTACTCAAGGATGCCCAACATTTTATGGAACCCGAAGGTTCACTACCATGTTCACAAGAGCCGTCCACTGGTCGCTATCCTGCTAGTGCCAGATAAGCAAATTCTTTCACAGGGCCATTCGGGGAATTAAACTGTCACACCCTGTATATTCCTGCAGTTAATTTGTCTGGTTAAAAATATGGTAATTCATCTTCTTTCAACAGAAGCCTTTTAGTTTTATATCAACTGTTAATATGCAGAGAAGGTTTAATAAAGAACAAACTATTACTCTCCATTTCCTCCTCCTCTTCCGTTCACCTGCAAAACTGCAGTATAACCATAAAGTCATCAAATGCAATTTAAAAATACTCATACACCTTAGACCTTCACTTCATTAACATCTGAATTTTTCATGGGCCTCTCTTCACAGTTTGGATACCTGTAAAGTCCTCTCGCATCTAAGACAATCCAAATCTGTCAGATTTAACATTCTTGGTTTTGTTACATAACATGAAGATAAACTTGTGTATGTCATTGAAAAGTAAATGCAGTGCTAATTAGTATTAATACTGATAAATGACATAGGTACACAACTGTCAGGCACTTAACAAGTTTAATTATTTATTCTATTACATACAAATGAGTTTTTCTATATAAGCTATATATGAAATATATCTTCAGCATCCAAAATACTCAAAAAATTGTTTTTAAATTTCTTTTGCTACACATCATACATAAACATATAATCACATAATACTGAATGTCCCTGAGTGAGATGCCCCAAGAAAGGGTACAAAATAGTAACATGTTGACATAGATTATCATGAACTTGGGGGGCATGGAAGTGAAAAGAATACATTTATACCTGATTTACATGCTACTACACGATGCCATCTCCAGCGCTGTCAAGTATATTAATGTAAACAGGTTTCATGGTTACCAATGTGTCCTGCTGAACAAGTTCCTCTTATTCAGGAAGCGATATATGACAAAGAATAAAAAGGAACTCCTGCAACAGAACCACCAATATACATACTCATATAGCCAGTCACTCTGCACTCGTTTTATGAATGACAGTGAAAAAATAAAATTTCTTGAACCATTTATTACCATTAATTTGTTCCATTATTTACTGCTCTCCTGTCATATTAAAAAAATGTGAATTCCTTATATACAGAAAACTAGATGGTACCCTCCTTCCCATTATTCATATTATATATAACGTCTTCATAAATTATAACATAAGATGACTAAAGGGATACCGAGAACTGGCAACACAGCATAAACACTGCACATCTGTATCATTAATTTCACTGAAATCAAAATTGTAAGATTAAATTCAACAATGCTTTTATGTACTTGCCAACTGAATTGAAATATACCACACAACTGCTGACAAAATTTAAAATGAAGACTGTCACTTGTAATAATAATTTAAACAAACTGAAAAAGACAACTGGAAAACAAATTTAAACAGTCATAACTGAAGCCTCCTCAATCCCTTATTTAATGTAAAGTAAAAGTAAGTAAAGCTATCCCTGTAACAGGCCGTGAAGGCCCATAGGCCCATAGGGTTGTGAGACGTTTAAGCTCCCACATTATCTAGAAAATCGGCTCACAGACGGCGGTAAGCTTGTCAGCCTTATGCGCCGGCCACGCTTTACTCCCCAGGAAAATTATTTAATTAATTCCTAGTACTCATTTCTGTTACTGGCTGAGTCAACCCCAGGGCCATAGTGCTGCTGGAAGGAAGAGGTCAATTGAAAAAATTCGATGACCTCATGGGGACCTGAACCCGTGACTTTCCAGCTTGTAGCATAATGCCTCAACCAACTACACTACCATGTCCCCCCCCCTTTATTTAATGATCCAGTAAAATTTTGTTACTCCAGACATCATTTATTCAAATAGTGTTCAATCTGGCAGCCACAACATTAATCATGAACTATGATCGATCTGCCCTCATGCATCTTCCCCTAAACATACTGGCTACTGATGCAAATCTAACAACAAGAACCCAATTGCAACTTTCCGATATTAATCAAAGTGGTTTTTATATCAGTTATCATGTGCGTGCTGTCTCACAAATCCAGCCCCATCCCCAACACAGTCCTTACTAGCAAGGATTTACTCTTGTGTTTATTTGTACAGGCAAAGAAACAATGGTCTCACCAGCAGCTGGATGCTGACTTCTCGCCTTGCTATCTGTAGCTTCTTATATTCTCAAATTAGACACCTGAGAAACATAACAAAACTATTTACACACACATAACCTGTATGACAAAATGCAGTGAACTGACAAAACGTGTGTAAGGTAAAGTGGTCCCTGTGCTTAACCAATTAAGCACTAGGCCATGAAGGTGTATGGGGGGAGTGGTTGTATAGGCCAAAGTTTTCTTGATCTCGGCAATAGTTGGAGATGAGTGATCAGCTTCACACCCTGGCCGCTTTACTCCTGGGAAAAATCCCCCAGTACCCACTGGATAGGAGGTTGAGTGGGCCTAATTCACCTTACTAATATTAAGTAACAGAACGCAAGTGTTCTTACTGAAACACTGACGTCTCTATAAATTGATCTACTTTCCAATTGAATCAATTTGCATTAATAGCAACAACATATCAGCACAATCAGAAAGTAATTACTACATCCTTTGAAAGCATTGCACTTTATAAAACTGACTCCACACATTTTTCAAATGTTTCACCATATGTCTCACTACAAAAATGGCAGACATGTTAACCCTAGATAGCTTTATCCTCCAGTATGAAACCTGCTCTGTGTTGTCTTGGCATAAGGCACATCTACAACAAATGCACATTTTTAATAAATATAGGAATGGCAGAAGACAGTTTGGACTTTCATCTGTATCCTAGTGACAGGAGAAGATAGTGTAGGATTTTAACAGATATGCAACAAAAGCAGAAGACAGTCTGGGTCTTGTCTCATGGGCCAGCAATCATCCCACTGGTAGATTCTAAAGGGTTCTGACGACAGTGGACGATACATAGAATTGTTGGGTTTTGGACTTTTACCATTGCCCAGAATTCTAGGCAACAGAAGACAATGATTGAGATCAGCTCTTTCTAAGGGGCCCACTGAGTAGGTGTTTACCTTCCTCACCTGAAGATGGAAACAGATCCAGTTTCCGAAACGTTGTGTCTTCTATTACCTAGAATTCTGGACGATGTAAAAAGTCCAAAAGCCCAGTAATTCTGCAATGATCCCATTGTTTGTAAGTTTCCAATGTCTTTCTTATAGTGGGTGGAGTTGGGATAGATCAGTTGCTATAGCGACTGGCTATGGGCTGGAAGACTGAGGGTTCGGAGTTCAAGTCTTGTAGGGTCAAGAATTTTCTCTTCTCCACATCATCCAGACCGGCTCTAGGGTCCATTCAACCTCCTATACATTGGTACTGGGGCTCCTTCCCAGGGATAAAGTGGCAGGGATGTGAGGCTGACCACTCACCTCCAACTAATGCTGAGGTCAAGAAAATGTGGATCTATACATCCACTTCCCCATACACCTTAATTACCAAGGCACAGGGACAACTTTACCTTACCTTTTTATAGTGGATGTAATGAGGAAACAAGTTGGCTTGGACTTGACACAATGCAGGTTTTCAAGTGTCTGAAACAACTCCAGGGTGATTTTCTATCAATATAGTTGCAACAGTGTGAAAATGTATACACGTGCACACACACACACAAATAGAAACACATACATCTTGTATATACAATACACTTGGTTGTCAACTTACGACCGACTTCCATTCTGACTGACAGGTCGTAAGTCGATCTGGTCGCATGCTGGCCATATATTTATTAACAGTATTTTTTAACCTTTCTAATCTTTTTATCATCTTTATAATTTATTTTTAAAATATTTACATTGTAATCATCTTTTATTTTTCATTCTTTGTGGTTGTAAGTGGACAACCAAGTGTATATATGTTCGTATATGTCCTTCATTTGAGAGACAGGCATTGTTATGAAGACAATGCTCACTTTTCTTTCTACAGTGCATCACTATACTAAGATATCCCTTCTCCACCTAAGAGATAACTACAAACCAGAAAATCTCCATAAAGATATTTGCAAGTATGCTGTACAAGAGGAACTTACTCAAAGAGCTGTGCCCTTCCTGAGGAGCCGCCAGTTCTGCAGCTACTCAAGAATATTCCAGCATTTTATGGAACCCGAAGGTTCATATACAAGGGGAGGGCATCAGTAATTCTTGGCAAACTCAACTGATTAAATACACCACAGTCAAACATGTTATACGATAACACAAATAAAAAAGAAAAAGAAAAATATGGCAGATATATGCACAACAAATGAGAAAGTAAACAGGAATTACCAGAGAGTATGAGCACGAAGAGATAAGGAACAAATACCGTTACTCTTCTATCATAATTTCTGTTTATATGGGTCAGTGAATGAAGTCTCCAATCTGTCATTTCTTCTCAAAGTCTTTCCCCCTCTTTTTTTAAGTTTCACAGTAGCTGGTTAAACATCTTGCTTTATATTATCTCACAGGTCTCCTTTAGATACGTGGTGTGTTCAAAAAGTATGGAGCCTTCTTTTTTCCCGCGTAAACCAATGAAGCGCGGGAGGCTCCCTTCGGTGGAGATGTGGAGGGGACATTCATGCGCAGTCGTGAATTTTTTCCCACCTGCAGAAAGTGTCAGTCGCTGGCAGTCAGCCTATGAGTGAGGACATGTAGTGAGCGCTCACTGGATTCCAGTAAGGTGTAAAATGACGGAACAACATGAGCAGCAATATTTCATCAAATTTTGCCAAAAGCTTGCCGATACCCAAGTGGAAACCATTCGCAAGATTCAACAGGCTTTCGGGGACGATGCCATGAGCAACTCACAGATAAAGAAGTGGTACAACCACTTCAAAGACGGCCGCACATCAGTTGACAGCAAACCGCGTTCAGGCAGACCCTCAGCAAGCCAAAATGAGAATGTTATTGAGCAAGTGTGGACTTTGGTCATGGTGGACCATCGTATCACAGTCCGAGAACTTGTGAACGAGATAGGGTTAAGCATTGGATCGGTACATTCAGTTTTGACCGAGAATTTGGGCATGAGGAGAGTGTCTGCAAAATTTGTGCCGAAACTGCGCATCTGATTCAGACTTTTGTCGCCAAACATAACATCCCTGTGGTTCGTCAGGCTCCCTACCTCCCCGACATGGCTCCGTGTGACTTTTGGCTATTACCCAAGCTGAAAATGCCGCTGAAAGGAACCCGATTTGAGTCGAGAGAAGACATCATGCGGAATGCGATGGCCCAGCTGATGACCATTCCAAAAGACGCGTTCCAGAAGTGTTTCCAACAATGGCGGAAGCGCTGGGAGAAGTGTGTGCATTGCCAAGGAGACTACTCTGAAGGGGATTAGGGTTTTGTACCTCCAAATCAATAAATGTATTTCTGCTGACAAAAGGTTCAATACTTTTTGAACACACTACATATATTTCAATTCTACAGCATTTCTCTATCTTTGTTTCAGCCACTCTTTTTACATGGCAAAACCATGATCACTTCTTGTCTGACTTTATTAGACTTTAATTCCAACTTATAATATACACATAGAACTGAAATGTGTCTCCAATGTAAACATCACTAATGCAATAAAACTGGAACCACAGCCATAGCTGGCATTGTCATACCTAAAGATCATAAGAACTAAACCATGCATGCGTGTTATATTCCAAACTCTAATGACAAGGCTACAAACCTTCCATTCTGTATCACTGAGGGTGTGCTCTGACTGGTATAGCTCTGGGTTGAATGGAAGACCAGTTATCACGCAGGGCCCATCAGGCATCAGTAACACTGTAAACTTGAAATGAGCCACAAATTCACCTGAAAATACAATACATACTATGTCACATTTCCCTTATTGTAGCGTGGAAGATAACAGCATCCCAATATTGTAACAACATTCAAAATAGATCACTGCTTACACAAGACATGACTGGGAATAACATAAGGAATATAAAGCACACTCCCATGTTAAAGAACACTTGTGTTTTATAAGATGCATCTGTATCACTAAATTCCGCAACATGAAACCAATACATCTATTGATTCTTGTTATATGTGGACATACATTCCTATGACCTTTTTTACATCCAGTTGTAATAAAATCACTCTTACTTAAAAAGGAGTAATGCACTTCACAGTCAGGGGGCACATGGTAGTGTATGAGGCACTATGCTATAAACAAGAAGGTCGTGGGTTCTGATGGGGTCATTGGATTCTTTCAATTGACCTAATCCTTCCAGCTGCACTATGGCCCTGGGATTCACTAAGTCTCTTAACAGAAAATAGTACTGGGATTCTTCCTCTGGGTGGAGGGTGGCCAGGGCATAAGGCTGATAACCTCACAGCCATCTGTGAGCCAATTGTCTAGAAAATGTGAGAGCCTCGATGTCTCATGAACATATAGGCCTCCAGGGCCTGTTACGGGGATAGCTTTACTTAACCTCACCGCCATCTGCGAGTGGATTGTCTAGAAAATGTGGGGGCCTTGACATCTCATGAACACATGGGCCTCCACGAGCTGTTACAGGGATAGCTTTACTTAACCTTAGTGTCATCTGTGAGTGGACTGTCTAGAAAATGTGGGAGTCTCGACATCTCACAAACCTATGGGCTTCCACAGCCCATTACCTTTGTTCTACTGCAGTTGTACTTAAATAGGGGTAATGCACTGCAGAGATTAAAATTAGATGGCAACAGAAACATGCTACTAACCGTCTCCACGTCACTGACATGTGCATATGGATGCTGAATTTCATACTTAGCGATAAATAAATGTCTTTAGAAAACTAATTTTGGCACAATTTGTTGTGCAATTTGTACTTCGTGCACTTAAGTAGACAGGGCCTAAAGGCCCTGCAAACAGCAAAGAACAGCATCAGTATGCATGACTTAAGTTGGGGGGGGGTCACTCATTTTATGTAGACAAATATTTCTCTTAGTAAGACATCCCTGTGCCAGTGAATGCTGAGGGATGATACTGGAAAGTGCCAGAGTTTCATCAGTATGTTACAGGGAAACAACCAGAGCAATCATTCTCTCTCAGAGAGACAGACTGCTGAACAGACCTCTGTTTCTGGCACCCTCAACACATCCAGTGTACCAGTCAGGATCAACAGCACCAATAAAATGCAGCACACTCTTCTGGAGTACACATCACAGTCCAGAAGACAAAGGTGGTGTCAGAACTGATCAAAGATCGGCTCCACGTAATGCGAGGAAGAAGTTCAGGCCACTTGTACAGCACCATTTGCTATTTGTACTGGACAGCTTTTGCATTCTTTTTATTGTAGAATAAAATATTGTAAATACAAAAAAGGCCTAGGCAATGCCCATCCAGCCTTCGGTGGTCTAATATTTAAACAGTGTTCTTGTAAGCAAACTGTTTAAATATTATACCAATTGTTCTCTTCACAATGGACACTGAAGGACCACACGATCCAACAGTGACAGGTAAAATGAAGAAATTGTTGAGTGAAATAATTTGTGAATGGATCATCTGGGCTTTGGGACTTATTTCTGAAGTAATCATCAACAATTTTAAGAAAAATGCAACTTCAAACACAGTGACGAGACAGGTGGTGACCGTGTCTGGGAGAAAGAGAATAAGACAAGAGTCAGCACAGATGATCTGTGAAGAAAGTAACGAGTGAAAAGGTATAGTAGTTTCTTCAAAGATGGCAGAAGACAAAACTGGGTGCCTAGCTTTGGGTATGAATATGAAGTTTACCAATTAAATGTTTTATCCTTCACTCCTTCCCAGGATGTCAATGCCAACTGCATGCTAACATGTCTTTTCGCTCACCAGTGCCACTCTGATGTCAGGCGAGAGACAGAAATGCTTTCATTAGTTTTAGTACTCTGTACATTTTTGGAAGAACAGCAGTTGTACATGGTATTCAAATGTGGGAACAAAAGTATTTTTATTCTAGATTAAGAAAAAAATTCATGTATCCCAACCACCACCACCACCACCACCACCACACACATATTTCAGGGTTAAAAAATATGAAATGTGGAAGGAATTATATGAGCAAATAATAGTACGTATGAACTACGAGTATATCAAAGACTGCTTCATAAGTAACATACCAGACTTCTCATAGAGTACTTTGTAAGGTTTAAACAGATTATGATTCACGCATTCCACAATGGCCATTTTGGCCTTCTTTATATCCTCAAAGCTTCTAAGGTTAAAAGGCATGGAACTGTGTCTGTGGGTCACTTCACTATAGAACTTTCGTGAAGCCGTAAGTTTCAGGTGGTAAGTTTCGTCTGTTTTCTTGTAGATGGTCACCTGATTATCTACTCGACCCTGAAATAGGAATTCATGATTACACTCCTTATGACCTCTATCAGTTCAAAAATACTGTGACATGATGGCTGAAAGCTGGAATAGGGGAGGCACTGTAGCTGTTCACCGCTAGGAAATGACTTGGTAAACAGGTTCCTGCAGAAATGAACATGTACACAAAAACAAAACTACTGTTTCTATGCAACTGTGCGGAAAACACACCTCTATAACAATAGAGGAATTGTTAGGAAATATGTTTTTTCTGTTGGGACTGCCCCAAGGCTATGTAACAAGGAACTCAGCTGAAAGAATTGAGGGAATCTCTGGAAATGGCAGTCGAAGCTGATGGAGAAGAGAAGACATAGTGTGTCATATATTGGTTTGTGAAGTGTAGTAACAAGTTGTGTAAGTGTGCAATAAATCCTGTTGTCAGTCCAAAGCCTGTCTATAAGTCACGCACACCCCTAAATGTGATAATATGAACAGAAACACACACAACTGTAAAACAGCACAATAGCAATATTAGAAAGCTGCAGTCCAATCCAGAGTACGCATTTCCCAAATGTGTTCTATGCAATTTTACATATGTCACCAGTCCTTGTACGGATTTTTTACGGATGCAAAATTTGCAGCCAGCGAATTACAGTTTATTTCTTCATAGCATTAAATATACAGAATGTCCCAGGAAGAATGTGCCAGACTTCTGGAGGGTGTTCATGTTAAAGTATGGCGATAGTACCCAAAACACCTATGTCCAAAGTCAGATGGTTACGGAGATAATGGCCAGAGAAGTGTGAAACTTTGACAGGTGTTACACACTTGTTGATTACCAAAATACATATTGTAGCGTGTTGTGTGTGTCACGCTACAAATAACTTCATGCCTTTGTCTGATAGAGTGAATTTATTCCGCTCGCTCACACTTTACAACCTTTACCATTTGCAGTGTTACAAATACTGCTTACAATAACTCGGCCGACACTGGACTGTCCTCTCTGGCGGTTGTTCCAAGACTGACTGTGTGAATGCATTCAACCCCGCTATATAACCTTGGTCGCTGCTATGCAACGAACCCTTTGTTATAACCATGGAGACTCCTGTTAGAACTACAATAGAGCGATTGTTGTTTCTTATGCAACGGTCTGTTCTAGCGTTTCCATAGAAGTGACTCTTCTGGATTCCGGACACGTTACAATATTAAAACTGGCAGGAATATGTGGTTTCTGTAATGTTAAAAATGTATGTAACATCAAACTAACTTGTGGGTGACATGAAGCCATTAAATTGAACTACAAAAAAACTCGCATGCCATGTCATATTTGTCGTTAGGGTTCCAAGCACTATACATGACACATGAATGGCAAGCACTGACGTGACATTGCTGACTGTGCATTCTGGTATGTGAGAGTGTGGAGCTAACATGAGCCGTCATCACCACACTCAAGGACAAACATCGATAAGACCAGTCAGCTGACAGGTAAAGCGCGTGGACCATTATCTCCATAACCGTTCAACTTTGGACATAGGTGTTTTGGGTTATATCGGCATACTTTAACATAAGGAATGCCCTCCCGAAGTCTGGCACATTCCTCCTGGGACACCCTGTGTAATCCCATGGATTTGAATCTCATATACGTTATCTCCATTAATCAACATCTTTATTAATTATATTCTGGTTCCTGCATCTGAACCCCATTCATACAATGCAATACTCTGAATGAACATTAAAACTGTACATATACTGCATAACACAAACTTTCATTCTTGTGTGAGTAAGATGTGGAAACATCAATCATGTCTGAAGCAACCACATGAGTTCGCCTTTCCAAATACAGAATATGTGACCACACTGAAATGATTCACAACACTTCTTTCCATAGTTAAAAACAACAAAACTTACCACTCCTTCACCTGTGCTGACAAGCACATTCATAGCATAAACTTCATGTGTCGCAAATTCATATTTCTCATGCTCTTTCTTCTGTGAATCACTTGGATTTTGAATTATGGTCTTTTTGCCTTCGAACTCGAACTGATCCAACTGGTGACTCAGCATCCCTTCAACAGGCTTGCATTTGTATGCCTCGCACACTTTCTGCACTGCATCTGTTACAGCATATGTCTGTAAATCAAGGCATTTATGGCGTGATCACTTTCATGCATTCCCTTTCATTCTTGGTTTATTTAGCAATGATGTCAATAGCTCTCACTATACAGTATATACATACATACATNGTAAAGGTTGAATTTGTGATTATTTAAAACAGTTTTAGACATATTAAAGATAATTAGTCTGCAATTAAGGAAATAATAAGTGGCAATTGAGGTCCTCATGGCAGTGACTAGGGAGAGTTCTGTCTTCTGGGTTGTAGTACCATCTGCTAATGCAAACTCACCTTTATCACCTGCTTGCCTTAATCTTAACACTGAACATGGAAACAATTATGTCTCTCTGAAATACTAGGGTCTCTCCAAACTATACGGCATTACAACCCAAGAGAACATACTCTTCAAGGAATCATCACCTGGCCAAACAATAAATCAACAGTTCTGACAGCAAAAACTGGCTGTCTTTTGGGCCATATTCTTCTGAGTTATACCACATAGACTGGTATGGTTACCAATGTTCTGGAGCAATATACTGCCACCAGCCTCACTTCTACACTGAAAATGGAGGCAGGAGATTCATCTGAAACTTTGGAATCCACTTACCAGACTATACGGTGTCACAGCCACATCCTCACTACCAGGAACACCTCAAATCTCAGTAGGATGACAAATGGTCCAACAATATTATGTAGGTCATAAGGAACATTAAATGTTATGTTACCCTTTTATGCATTACTTCAGCACAGGTGTCCAAAAGCAACCCGCCCTCAATCTCTCCACACAATCAGCAGAACAACTGGGACATCTGTCCTTGTGATACACCACTTGTTTGATTCCCTCAGAGATGAAGCAAGACTCACTGTCTGCACCCACCATTTCACCTCGGTTTTCATATTTTAACCCTTCAGTGACAGGCTCCATACCTGGCATGACAGCGGCTTCTGTCACATGTTGCCAGGGTCTATAGCCTGCACGCGTATTGCAGCTCTACGTTAACAGCTTGTACTGGCGGCCCAGGTTTGATCCCGGGGTAACTGTGAATTTCTTATGTCACACATTACAGGTGGTAATGATGCCATCCTCAGTGAGGTTGGCCGAACCACGGCTGTGTCTTTGGTGGGGACGCATCATGGACCAGGGATGTGTTGGGACACCTCCTCATGGTCCCTCCAGGCAACGACAGCCTTGGGGTCTGGATCAGTACGAACTACCAGGGCTGGCGGCCAAGCTCCCATAAAGGGCAATGGCATTATGACCAGAGCCTCCCATGCGGCGGCATAATGACTTTTGGGTGTCACTATGGTGTACCCACGACGAATGCGGGAATGCACTCCTATGGGGGTAGCTTTGGCTATTTGAGTTGTCTCCCTAGAGCAATGATAAGGTGGCACAAGCCTTAGGGCTCAACACTCTAAAAACAGTTTAACAAACCCATGTGAAGGGATGGGAATGGGGGACCTAATAAGCAACATCCAGGGGCAACTTTCTCATATTGGTTGCCCTGGTCGCAACCTCATGACTAACTGGTGTCACAATCCCATTTATCATCTGGGATACCCCTCTCCCTCTGAACAGGCACTCTTGGTCTTGGAGGCTTGTGAGGGTTGCATTCACTACAGGACCAAAATACCTAAGCCAAGGTGTGAGGCATCCTGCTGAGGGCTGCATGGCACTGGGGTGGTAATTAGCCAGTGTCTTGAACGATCCCCTCAGGGCACCAGGCAGCACCCCATTGTATTTATGCCTTCCACCCATATGGGGAGCTGCGGGTGGTGACATTTTAAATCCCCGTGACTTGTGGGACCAAAATGAATAAAGGAACCAAATAAAAACCGGTCGTAAAGACCTTAAGCTGAAGAGGGACCCTTCTCCAAGGGGATCCCTACGAGAAATGCTTCAGCAGGAAGCTCGAAGCTCTGGCAAACCATTAAGGGGCCCAGATGAAACCAGAGAACCTGCTGTTGAAATTTCAGCAAAATGAAGGGACAAACCAGCGGTTCAAAACCTGCCTGAGATAAAACCAAAAACTACTCTCCTGGGAGTCAGTCGTACTGACACAACACTGCAGGGAGCTAGTACTTCTAACACACCTGCAGCAGGAGGACTCGGACACCTAGTCTCTGGAGTAGGTGGACCCCGTCTAGCAAAGAAAGCCTTGTCTGGATGCATTAGATGGAAGTTGAAAAGGGCAAAAGCTGGGGCAAGCAAAGCAGGAACTGTGGGCAGTCGGCAACCAGGTATTGCAGGCTCATCCAAGCAGGGAGAAACCCCCACCGGCACCTTTAAGAGTCCAAGGTCGGAGGGCAGTACCCCTATAGAAGCGGCCAGAACTCTAAAAAGGCCCAGGGACCTGGGACTTACAAGGAGGCTCTGACCAATATAATGGTAGCTATCTTCAAGAAAACTTATCCTGAGGATAAGCTTACCGAAGATCACCAGAATTCTATTCTGGAAGCACTGGGAGAGGTGTCACGTAGGACCTGAAAGGGAGAACTACCACAACTGAAATCCTACAGACTAGTGGGAGGTGTACTTATTTATGTATGTGCCGACCAACAGTCTGGTCAATGGCTCACCAAAGCCATTGACAAAAACAGGCTGGAATCAGGGGCCAGGCTGAAGGCTACTGATGCCAGGAACCTGTCCAAGCTTGTTAAAGTGGCTCTCCAGACTAGTGACAAAGCTGCCCAGAATCAGGAAGAGCTGCTGAAATGGACTGCAGACCTCAATCCGGGACTTCATACTGAGAACTGGAGGGTACTCGATAAGCAATCTGAGTCAAAAGGCCAGAGGCTTATCCTATTCGAAGACCAGGACTCCCATACTGTTATACAGAGGACTGGTTACAAAACATTTACAGGACTCTCACAGGGGACTGTTAAGGTGCTGAATGATCCTGAAGTTCAGTATCGGGCAGAACCCATGACTAATACTGTATCTTCTAACTCGGTCTCTGAGGGGGAGGGGGATCAGATCCCCCCCTGGATGACCAAAGCAAAGTGGATCAGGGGACCCCTTCACACAGAACCCAGTCTGAGGACGGGGAGGAACATAAGATGGAAATTCACCCCTCCCCAATTGGAAGAGATCACTAAACATGCACATGCGCGCGCGCGCACACACACACACACACACACACAGCACATACATACACCATGAAATTTCTTCAAATTAACCTACACCACAGCAAAGCTGCCACGGCAGCTCTGTGCCAACAACTAGCTGAGGGTAAAGCAGATATAGCACTTATTCAGGAACCTTGGTTATACAAGGGTCAAATCAAGGGCTTAGCTAACATAGGGGGAACAGTTTACTCTGCTGTAGCCAACAATAATGCAAGATCCTGTGTTTATATCAGGAATCATGTTAATGCCTTGCCTTGGCTGGAGCTTTGATCTAGGGATACAACAGCAGTAAGTATAACATACACGTATCGAGGAGGCAGCAGGGAGCTGATTATTGCTTCAGTCTGACTTCCATACGACTCGAATGAACCACCAACTAAGGAGATGAGGGACATCACTGGGTATGATGCCAATGCACACCACATGTTGTGGGGGAGCACCGGCACTAGCCCAAGGGAATTTCTGGCGAGTTCGAACCTGAATATTCTAAACCATGGTAATGAACCTACCTTTGTGGTCTGCAACAGGAAGGAGCTTATTGGTTTGACACTAGGGACAAATAACATAGGAAACCTGGTAAGTAATTGGCATGTATCTGATGAGCCATCCCTATCGGATCACAGATATACATCCTTTCAAATAAGCAACATTACAGTAGATCAAGCTACTTATAGGAATCCTAAGAGAACCAATTGGGAGTCTTAGAAAGGTAACCTAAAGGTAAATCTGGAGACCATCTCGCGAAATATACGCACAATAAAGGATGATGATCGGTCCGTTGACTAGTTGCAATGGGCTATTATATCGTCCTTTAATTGGAATTGTCCTGCTAAGACCACTCGCAGACCAAGGAGAGCACCTTGGTGGAGTAAACAGCTGAGTGACCTTAGAATCAAAATGAGAAGGCTGTTTAATACAGCTAAAAGAACAGGGCAGTGGGACACCTATAAGGAAGCCCTTGCCTGTTACAACAAAGAAATAAGGAAAGCCAAAAGATCCTCATGGAGGCACTGCCAGGAGATCAATGATGTACCAGGCGGTGCCACTCATGAGAATCATGGCAAAACAGGCGACCAACAAGGTCAGCACAATTAAGCTGCCTAACAGGCAGTATACTCAAACAGGATGGGAGATACTGAATGAGTTATTCAGGGTTCACTTTCCTGATTCAAAATTGATTGATAATTTGGATGATGGACAGGATCAGCAAAACCTGGGCACTTGCCAAAGCAAGACGAATATGACAGACTGGACCCTGGCCAAAGTCATAACTAACCAATCAAAAATCAGATGGGCACTGAATACCTTTAAACCATTTAAGTCAGCAGGAACAGATAGAATTGTACGGGCACTTTTGCAGCAAGGGGCAGAACTCTTAGTTCCACACCTATGCTGCATATATAGAGCCTGCATGGCATATGGTTTCATCCCCATGGCATGGAGGCAAGTTAAGGTGATGTTTATCCCAAAGCCTGGGAAACCTGATTACACCGAGGCTAAGGCTTATCGTCCTATCAGCCTGTCGTCTTTCCTGTTGAAAGCGATGGAGAAACTAGTGGATAGGCATGTTAGGGACGGGGTATTGAGGACATGTCCTCTACACCGGAACAAGCATGCCTACCAAACAGGTAAATCTACCGAAAGTGCACTACACAATGTGGTAACATGCATAGAAAGTGCGATTGAACACAGGGATATTGCCTTAGGAGCATTCCTTGACATAGAGGGAGCTTTTGATAGAACCTCGTTTGATATAATCAAACAGGCCACTGGAAAGCATGGCATAGAGCCTGCAATATGCAGGTGGATCAGTGTAATGCTGGAAAGCAAAACCATAGCTGCTACATTATCAGGAGAGCCCTTGGGGGCGTCTGCAGGGGGGCGCGCTCTCACTTCTGCTGTGGGGCCTGGTTGTTGACAATCTCCTGTGGGGAGTTAATGATGATGGGTATTATACAGTAGGATATGCTGATGACATAGCAATCCTCATAAACGGAAAATTCCTTTCGACAGTATCAGAGTGTCTTCAAACAGCTCTGTACATAGTCCAACAATGGTGTGAAAGAACAAGTCTTCTCTATTAATCCCAATAAGATGGTAATTATACCGTTTACTAGGAGAAGAAATATAGAGGGCCTTATGGAACTGACCCTCTTCAATTCGACGATCCAGCTCTCCAGCAATGTCAAGTACCTTGGTCTAGTATTAGACAACAGACTGACATGGAAAAAGAAGCTGGACAAGGCCATTAACAAAGTCTATAAGGCTTCTTGGCTATGCAGTAGCATGTCTGGTAAAACTTGGGGACTGCAGCCGCACGTTGTGCAGTGAATATATACTGCAGTTGTGAGACCCATAATTACAAACAGTGCCACAGTATGGTGGCCCAGAGTTAAACTCAAGACAAGCAAGGCAGAACTTAGCAAACTGCAAAGGTTGGCTTGCTTGGGTATCACAGGAGCAATTCGAACATCTCCAACAGCTGCGCTGGAGATACTCCTTGGACTCCCCCCACTGCATCTACAGTTGGAGGCAGAGGCCAGGGCAGGAATCTACCGTCTCCAGTGCAGTGATCAATGGAAACCTAGATCCGATGGTTTCGGCCATGCATACATAACTCAGGACATGAAAAAAAACCCGTATTTAAAATGGGGTCTGACAAAATGATACTGAGACATGTATGAAAAACCATTCAGTCAGATTTCCTGACAGGAGCAAATGATAAGACGGGTTTCGGCCCGATAGAAAAGGGGCCTGATCTGGTATACAGATGGTTCCAAGATAAATAAGGGCACTGGAGCTGGTGTGTACTGCTATGGCACAAGGTGGAAACTTAGTTTCAGCCTTGGGCAGTACACGACAGTATTCCAAGCAAAAGTATATGCCATTAAGGCATGTATTATGGAGAATCTAGATAGGAACTATAGAAATAGTTACATCTGCATTCTATCTGACAGCCAGGCTGCACTTAAAGCGCTTGACAAACACCAGATAAACTCAAAATTGGTCTGGGATTGCCACCAAAGCCTCATGAAACTGGCCAAACGTAACGGGGTACAACTGATATGGGTGCCGGGGCATGAGGGTATTGCTGGAAACGAAACAGCAGATCAATTGGCTAAGATTGGAGCTGAACATGCATTCATAGGACCTGAACCAGCCTGTGGCATCTCTACAGCAGTTGCCAGACAGGCAATCAGGGACTGGACAAATATGAAACAAAAGAAATAGTGTGGATCCTTGACTGGACTCAGGCAAGCATAGGGACTCATACGAGGACACTCTACTAAAAGAGCGAAGGAACTGTTGAAGTTAAACAGGAACCAGCTACAATGGGTGGTAGGACTATTTACAGGACACTGTCACCTTAAAGGACACCTCTTCAAACTGGGACTAAGTAATAGTACAACTTGTGAGAGGTGTCAAGAAGACAATGAAACAGCCACACATATCCTGTGTGAATGTGAGGCCTTAGCTTATTTAAGATTATGTCACTTGGGTCAATACTTCATGGAACCAAGTGACTACTTCGACGCCCCCACGTACAAAATCCTACACTTCATTCAAAGCACAGGATTGCTGAGGGGATAATCAAACGGGGAACCACAACAGACCACTGTAGGACATGGTGCAAGGGCCGAGAAGGCAGACCCCTTATACATACATACATACATACATTCATTCATTCATTCATTCATTCATTCATTCATTCATTCATTCAGCTTGTAATTTCAACCACTGTTTTTCATGTAAAGAAATTATTTTGGTATGAAATTAAAGAGGAAATTTCAGGCTATGATTTCGTATATTCACTGTCCCACTTTGAACTTGCTGAGGGAGTTTTATTACATTTGAATTCTTTGAAAAAGTTTTCTACTTCAACACTTGGTGTGCTTGTTACCATACAAATCTACCTCTGCCTAGGGGAATTCTTATGAACTAATATGTTAGATTAATACTGTGTGCGTCCTCTATCCTGATCGAATGAAATGTCGATGCTCTTGAGGCATATTCTGATCAGTGCTGCTTCAACATTGGTATTTGTAATTACGAGAAGACACGTGGAGAATCTACAACTCTGAGACGTGATGTTGACTCTAGAAGTGTGTTATGACTGCTACTGTAGCAAATGATAAACAGTTCACTATATGAAGATATCACTGTAATCCCCTTTGTTCTATAAATATGCATCATGCAGTCTGGTTAGCCAAGGTGAGCCACGAGCAGTGAAGCGGCCAGGTGTGTTGTGTCATGACCAGAGGGGGATATATTTACTTGCAACTGAATCAGAACAAAGTTTTATCAGATTCGGAATTAGTCACTGAAAATGGATGTTTGTGCTTTTCTCAGTTCTGTGGTAAATGACAGAATCAAGAATAGCACAAACATCCATTGGGAGAATAAGCAAAACTACAAGGGACAAAAGGAAAATTTTTGAATGCGATGATAATATGTAGGAATAACACAAGGAAAAGAATAGACCAATTGTCAATCAGAATTCAGTTAATTGAGGGACTCTATGTGAAATATGCTAATGCTGTAGAACACAAAGTGCCGGGTCAACATTCGTCCGACAAAACAGTTCACCGTCTAAGAGAGAGAAATTTTATAAGCAAGATTCCACCAACTGCTAAGAAATCAAAACCACAGAAATGGCATGTTGTGTGTCAAATCTCTGTACTGGTGTGATGCGTCTGACGTGGGACCTTGTGTGGAATGTTTTCATAACTAACACACCCAGCTGAACTTCTAGAGTAATATGATACTATCATTTATAATTTTTATAGGCTTACTGTGCCAAGATATAACTTTAAAGCAGTGTGAATATTTCTGAACGTAGTATGAAAATTAGAAAAACAAAACTCCAAGTTTTCCCAATGTATTACACTTTAAGTGAAATGTTGCACTCTCCGAGTTAATTATTTAAATATCCTCCGGCACACGAGTTGAGTAGGAACTTAAATGCCCGCCGGTGGTGAAGGGTTAATCATGTCACAAGCCTTATCCTTTGACCCACAGTGAAAATTTCTATGCAGTGTCAGGCTAAATGGTGGATGGGAAACAACATTCCCAGCAATCTGTGGAGATGTTGCTGCAAACATTCTGGGAAACATTCTTCTCCTTCAGTTCCTGGACAACAGACTAACAGTGAAAGCTGAGGGGCACTGGTGGGTCCAAGCACTGGACCCTGACTTCCCACATGCATGAAATGAATGGTTAGTGCTTTGCTGGAATGTACATCTCAGTTGATCTCGTGATTAAATGGAGAAAAAGAGGATTCACCTGTTATTCCTTTGTACATCTACGTAACACACCCTCAGACATTACTCACTGAACACTCCTTGAAGAATCACATCGCAACACCTGTGCATACTCACGTCATTGCCAGGCTTCAGGAGGTGCAGAGCAGCCTGTGACGCATAGTGTGCTGCAAGAACTACATCTGCCCGCCGGCCAGTCACTTTAGCTTCACTTGTGACTCCAAGAACTATTGTGTGGGCCACGACTGCTACGAATCCATCCACGTGTGCTCCCAGGTCACTGTATGCCACATTATACAAGACTAAGATATTGGTTACTCAAATCTAATCAAGATTAGAACATGAAAAATGCTGTCTTCTGGGATATGGCGTCATGCAGATATTGTGCAAACCGAGGTTTCAGAGGAATTTATCGCCTCCATCTTTAGGGTATAAAAAATCTGTGAGCAAGGAACCAAGGTGGGCAGGTGGCTGCAGAAGATGGAGGCGATACCATCCTCCGAAATGTTGGTTTACACAATATTTACACGGCACCACATCCCAGAAGACGGCATTCTTCATAGTCACCGCCTTGAAAACCTCAAATCTTACAAAATTAGAATGGTTCACACATATGCTGCTCTTTTCAGACAGCTTAGGATTTGAATGTGGCTATTTCATATACTGTAGCCATATGTGTAGCCAATTAGTGATGGTGATGAACATTAATCACTTCCTGCTTGCTGAACAATACTCTCAATGTCACCATTCCTACTAGGAAAATGTACAGATTACAACTACATTCTATTATTATGAATATTCTCAGGTTCCAACTACAGAACACTCAGTGTCACTGAACAACGTGAGACTGCTGGTGGGGAAGAGTATCAGCTGCCAATTCATCAAAATCAGTTTTCCACATCTATCAAGTTGCAGTAAATGAAAGAAAGCTGTTGCAAGGAACATTCAACAATCATGAGACAATGTATACCACTAAATCGCCAAGAAGGGGCTAAGCATCACATAAGGCGGACATACAGGAGATACTGTTTCAGAAGTTGTGTGCAAAACGTTTGCTCAAAATTCATATAATCCTGTGTTAATACTGCTATATATTCTTTCTCAATACTTCATGAAACACTCGAGAAATCACCTACAGTTTACGTGAAACATGGCCTAGCTTATAATATGTAAATGAAATTATCTGAATAACACATACAGATCTGCTCCTATAGATTGTTAAACAATAATGAATGGATCCCTTACATTTTCACCATATCTTCATCCTTCAGCATGTAGTCTGCCTCACCGGGCATCGGCGAGAAGTAACAAATACAATTATTCACTGACACAGATGTTGGAAATGCAATACCTGCAAGTGAGGAAAACTCCTCTTGTAAGAACTAGCATGAAAATATTCAACAAGTACTTGTTCTGTATTTCAAACCATACAAGCTCTTGTTCACATTAGGAGTATTTTATCTCACTGTACACAGCACACGGTGACATAACTGTTAAAAAAAATGGGTGGCTTACCTGCAATCAAATCATCTTCTTTTTTTGAGACTTTTGAAGTCTCTTTTATCAATAAGTCATCTCCAAATTCACAGATTTCATAAACTGAGGCGCCAACAACACATTTATCAATTACTTGCTTTAAAACTCCTGGAAACAAAACAACTCATAGACTCACTCACTCATGGAGATAAGACTTTCTTGAGAAGCCACCAGTTGTGCAGCTACTTAAGAGCTTCCCAGCATTTTTTGGCACCCAAAAGTTCATTACCATGTTCACAAGAGCACTCCAGTGGCCAATATCTTGAGCCAGATTGAGGGTATGTGAGGTTTACCCGGCGGTAAAGCGGCAGGGGCGTGAAGCTGACCAATCACCTACCACTAGTGCCAAGGTCAAGAAAATGTGGCTCTATACAACCATCTGACCTATACATCCACTAAATCTAAGTTATATACAGGGCTAAAGTAAAAGTAAAGTTTGCCCCTATGCTTAACTAATGAAGCACTGCGCCATGAAGGCACATGCGGGAGTGGACGTATATATATATCCACATTTCCTTGACCTTGGCACTAGATGGAAGTGAGTGGTCAGCTTCACGCCCTGGCCGGTTTACCCCCAGTACCCACTGGACTGGAGGTTGGGTGGACCCCAGAGCGAGCCTGGACAATGTGGTGAAGAGAAAATTCTTAACCGTACCAGGCCTCGGAACTCCAAATCCTCAGTCATCCAGCCCATAGCCAGTCGCTATACTGACAATGTAATCCTAGCTCCCTTATATACAGGATATGATGATAAAACAAATGAAGTGGAAGCAACTACATTTCTTGGCCTTCAAACTGATAGTCGCTTAGATTGGAAAACATGTACTGAACATATTATCCCTAAAGTAATCTCAACGTGCTTTGCTATGAAGGCAGTCACGTCTCTCATGGAAACAGATTTTGCACAATTATTTTATTTTGCTTACTTCCATTCTGTCATGTCATATGGAATAATTTTCTGTGGAAATTTGACAGAAAAAAAGTGTTTTGTAGGCAATTATTAGAGAGATTTAATATTCCACTTCTACCTGCCAAATCGTCCTCATGATAATTTCTTGCAGACAACATGGAAAAATTTCAAACATATTCACATATACATAAGTACAGAATAGAGACATAACCTCTACAAATGAAACACTAACCTCAGTAAATATCTGTAAGGCGTTAATGTGTTGGAATTATGTTACACAGTAATCTTCCTCCTGAAGTCAAATGATTATATCCCAATACAAATCTCTAAGTAGTTAAAGAGTATCTCCAATCTCACTCCCTACTTGGTACAACTTCCACAACACAACAATTTTTAATTATAAATACACCCAAATATTGGTGATCATCAGTGTGGATTTCGACACTACACACCAACTACTGATCTGATCTTTCCGCTTTTGTCAGATATTGCAGAAAAAAATGGGAGTACAATGAGACGGTACATCAGCTATTCATAGACTTAAAGACTGTACAATATTCTGGTAGAGTTCGGGGTACCCAAGAAACTAGTTACGAGGCATAGCTTCACCCATTCTTGACCTTGGCATTAGATGAAGGAGAATGGCCAGCTTCACACCCTAGGCACGTTGGGAGGAACAGCCCCAGAACTCATTGGTTAAGAGGCCAGGTGAGCCCCAAAGCTGGTCCAGATGCAATGGAGAAGAGAAATCTTACCCGGCCATCCAAACCATAACCTGTCACAAAATTGATGTATCCCAACTCTATCTTGGAACAACAACAAAACCAAATTTGATTCAAGGCGAAATTAAAAAGCATATTAAACCCAGGCAATGCTTCCTACCATTCAATTCAGAACCTTTCATCTTCATGTCAGCTGTCTAAAGGCGTAACAATAAAAATATACTAACAGTTATATTTTCTGGGATATAACGGAGTATAGTACCTTAAAAATTTTATCGCTATGGCGTCTAATACCGGATGACAGAACTCTTCATAACCACTTATACTAATATAATACCAATATATATAACACTATAATTTTGCCTGTACTTCAGTATCAGTGTGAAACTTGGTCTCTAGCTTTAAGGGAAATCTCATTGTTCAGAGCTTCTATAATTGATAAATAGGGCCGGAACAGTATACTATGACTTTCTAAGTTTTTATTACGTAGTAATTCACCATTACTAATGGTTTCGAGAACTTTCATTATTTGATTCACACTAGATCGGCCATTTTGGTAACAATCTCGTTTTAAGTGTACAACATCCGTCCATAAGTCCGGTGGGTACTATGTATACTTATATTCAATTAAATGTGCGTCGCCTTATTAATTACTTACGGTTTACTATGTCACCAGCGGTTTTATACTTGGTGACAGCCAAAACTTCGCCAACACCAAGCACATCTTCCCCTTTAACCGACATACTATTCATTCCGCAAACACCAAGCTGAATGGGACTGAAACTGAAGCATTGAACCAGAGAATAATATAGGCGGTACAGGTCGTACAGATTATACAGGTACACCAAACTACCGGAAATAAACTTAGATGAATGATATTCGAGAATACAGTGGCCGCATGAATCAATCTAGAGGACGGATTTTAGCGTAAGATGCAAGAAATTAAAAAAACATATTGTGACATGACCGTACAATGCCGCCTGTTAATTTGCAACGGCCTGTATACACGTTTCCTAGTAACAAATTAGAATCAAGCATTAACCAATCAGCACGGACCACGACAGCTCCAACACCACCAACCACAACGTGAAAGGCTGGGCAGCGAAAGCTGACGTAACAGTAGAACCGACTCGCTGCTGACGTGGCAAAACAGGCGATTGCTCAATCGTGGCACGCGATTGGTTGGACGCTTTGCTCTCCGATCTAGGCTTCATACTGAGGAGCAATGCTGCAAGTCAGTCAGCCGCCAGCAGTTGTGGACGTTAGCACGAGCAACGAGAATCAGCATTTACTAAGACACGCTTACAACGAACGCAAAGGTTCATTGAGCAGTGATTAAATATAAGCGCTAGAGTCGCTGAATTCTGGATGGTCGGAAGTGATCTTGGCAGAGACAGCAACAGAGCTCGCAGGATGGCAGGACGGCCAATACAGATACTTGTTAGCAGAGACGACCATTCCTTCGGACTGGATGAGGAGGAAATGAGTTTAAACGGACAGCGCGGCATGCTGCAGATTCAGGCAGAAAGCAGCAACCCCTATAGAGGGTTAGGGCCCAAGGATCAGGTTCACCAGTGTCAAGTACAGCAGGACGGGACAACTGATAAAGAAGCAAGCTTACTGCTGAATATTGTCATAAATCTACAATTACTATGGTATTATTTCGTGAAACCAACATGTCAACATTTCTTGGAAAGCATCTTGATCATACTGCTCTCAATGCTACAGAATCTGTCAAAACGCAGCAACCAGCGTGCAGGTTCAGCCCCCCAGGACGAAGTAGAAGACTGGTCAACTGATGAAGAAGGAGACTTGCAGTGGATAAATTCGAATATGCCACAAATCAATATTCCTGAACGCTACAGAGTGAAAGGGAACAGACTGCGCGGCATGCTACAGATTCAGCCAGAAAGCAGTGGCCCCTATGTAAGGTTAGAGCCCAATGACGAGGTTTACCAGTGCCAAGTACAGCAGGAAGGGACAACGGATGAAGAAGTAAACTTACTGCAGAATATTGGCATACGTCTACACTTACTCTGGAATACTTTCGTGAAACCAACATGTCAACATTTCTTGGAAAGCATCTTGATCATGCTCCGCTGGATACTACAGAAGCAGCGAAAAAGAAGCAACCCGCCTGTAGGCTTAGTCCCCAAGTACGACGTTCACCAGGACAAAGTAGAGGACTGGTCAACGGATGAAGAAGAAGACATGAAGTGGATAATGTCGAATATGCCACAGATCAGTATTCCTGAATGCTACAGAATGAAATAGAAAAGGAGGCTCGCGTGTAGTGTTAAATTGGCTAAGGGATCACTTCCCCCAGGACCAGCACAGTAGGACGGGAAAACTTCATGAAGAATTCCCCGAAGCAAATTGAAGAAGTCTGGTAAAACAAAGAGAATAACCGACGATGAACGGTAAGAGCGATTGGTGAGAGTATTTTGATTCTTTGTAATTATTAGGAATACATTTTTCAATAAATATAATTTTCAAAACAAAGACCGTGTCTAGTTATTAAAATGTGACAATATAGTCAAATTTTATTTTAATTGTTTAAAGTAAAATAAGTTGCTGCTTATTGATGAACCTATGATCATATTAGATCCAAGTACATGTAGGTAACCAATTTACTTCCTGAAATTTTCCTCTGCCACTATTTTGAATTTTTTAAAATCTATGATATAATACCGATCACATAAGCCAACTGTCTTTTGGTTTAATCTGTCACATTGAGAAGTCTGAAAGGACCCAATTTTTAAATAACTAATTCAAGGCATTTGCAATTTTGTAATTATTATTTTTATAATCGTTTCGAATTGGAGATGTGGATGAAATGTAAGGAAATTATTGTTGTGATCGGGATTATTTTGGTATTGTAACAGAAATTACCAGACGTAATGAGATTTTCCTAAAATTTCCTTTCTTCCTTCAGTGAACTTCTAGATTATACTTCTGACATAGAGCGTAATACAAATATGGCCACCAATAGTCAACACAGAACTGGCCAAACATAACCTGTGCAGGTAGAAATGTATATCAATGATTTTTTGTTTCAAAATAAAAATAATTCACAAGAGCCATGTTGCACGCTAATAATTCTGTGGGGTTCGGTTCTGAACCGATCACAGAACTGCTCAGAAGTATTAGATTTGTTTTTCCGTTGGCGAATACATTATGCACAATTACGTGGAGTGATGATGGAATGGTATTTGCAAATTTGTAAGTGTGGATTTTGATTTGATGTTTGTGAAACGGTCGTCGACATTTAAGCACGAATTTACATGCTCATGCTAGACATGTTATTTGTGTATATGACTGTTATGCTTATTACGCCGAATAAAATTAGAAATATGTAAAGTCAGAAATTATTATAATGACATTTCATCCAAATCATATTTGTTTTAATGGAATTTTAAGCGTCTTTAGGTTTAGGCCAGCGGTCTGTTGAATCTCAAGAAACTCTTAAGTATATTGCGATTGTGTAATAATTATTGTATTGCGTGTTACAGTAAAATTGAAAGAAAGAAATACTCTGACTCTAGGTGCTTGTTATCCAGTGGGCAAAGAGGAATGAAGTTCTTTAGTTTTCCAAGGGATTCAGCACAGAATGTCTGTTTAAATTCATGATGTAATGGCTTTATTATATGTTGCTTAGTGGAACGAAGAAATTAAGTTTAGCCAATGACTGTATCAAATTTATTAAACTTAACCACACAATGTAGCACCTGCACCATGTTTGTAATGTTTACTGGTTGTGAGATAGTATGTTCTAGTCTTACAGGGCTTTAGTATGGGCAGAGAAGTTGGGATATTGTATACTACTGATTCTGGAGGAATTCTATGCAATGAATATTTGTGCAACAGACATTTCTCAGAAAGTGATTTCATTAAGTTCACTACAGCTGAAAGGGTATGCCTTAACAGAGTGGTAATTCCATGTGGCTCAGATCACTCCCACAACCTCAGTAAGTCATTAGGAAAGAAATGCCCTGCCCATGCAGGGTGATTATATTGTACTGCAATAAAAGTAAAGGAAACATTTTATAGTATACAGCTGGTCATGATGTTTCTGTCTTCCCATCTGCTGTCTAAAGACTTGAAGATTAAAAAGAACAGAACTAATTTTACCTGCAGTATAGGTATGTCTCTCATATTAACAGAAGAACAAGGGTTGAGGCCAACACTTGGACCTATAATGGAGGAAACAACAGAAGAAAACTGGAAGCTGTGAAGCTTCATCATTTGTACTCTTTAACAAATATTATCAGAATGTCAACTCAAGTAGGGTGAAATGGGTGGGACATGAAGCATACATGGAAGAGAAGTCATTACAGTTCTTTAGGAAAATCTGAAGGAAGACCAACACATGGATGGGAGGATATTAAACTGGATTTTATGAGAGAGTAGATGAAAGATTGTAGACTGAATTCATCTCACTTAAAGTAAGGACGAGCAGCAGTTGTTATGAACATTGCAATGAACCTTCAACTTCCATAAACTGCTGGTAATTTCTTCAGTAGCTTACTAGCTTCCCAAAGGATTCAGATACGTGGAGTCAGTTACTTTGTGGTTTTAAAAAACTGAGGACTTTTGAATAGGTAATTCAAACAGTGGGACGTGGACTTGAAGATGATCTGAAAAGCCTGAAACTCGCTGGATTCATTGTATTGTCTTGTTCCAATGGTAATTAAATTATCGGTTACTTTAATGAAAATACAACAGTATGGATTCAAATGTAAAGTTAGAAGATATCACAGTTCAATAATTTTACACGTGTGACCGAAACCTTACAAGAATATGGTTCCACTTCATTTTCATTGTTCAGCATTTCATTCTGACATCATCATTAAATTCTGCTGCTGTGGACATCCATTGAGCAGTCCTTCTCCACACTTTATTCTACTGTCAACTTATCCCTGGACTTAATCAGGCACCATGCTAAGATGTATGGGGGACTGGAGACACAGTTCCACATGTCAGCCTTAGCACAAAGTGGATACGAGCAGTCACCTTTGCACACTGGCCACTTTATTCCTTGGTACCTGTTCAATAATGCATATAGGAAATTGGTATGAAAGCCAGAAAGGAAGGAGACCACTAGGAAGACCAAGACATAGGTGGGTGGATAATATTAAAATGGATCTTAGAGAGATAGGATGGGAGTGGTATGGACTGGATTGGTTTGGTTCAGGATAGGGATCAGTAGAGGGCTTTTATGAACACAGTAATGAACCATAAAATGGTGGAAGTTCTTGAGTAGCTGCATAACTGGTGAGTTCTCAAGAAGGGCTCAGCTCCATAGAGCTAGTTAGTTAGTACCTCTTCAGAAAGAGGATGGGTGAGCCCCAGAACAAGGCAGTAAAGAGGAATATCTCTCATGCTGCCAGGAATCAAACTTCAGTCACACAGCCCATAGCCCAGTCACTATAATCACTTAGCTATCCAAAGTCATTTTCTAAATTAGGTCAAAGGTGGATGGAATGTCTGTAATCTCTGGAGAAACCTCATGTTATTGGAGAAGTAGGTTTTACTAAACATGAGCTCTGTTTGGGATAATAAACCAGTCAATGTTTTACAGGAATTTTTAAAGACTGTAGAAACACAATTCCTGTTCACCATTTGTACTGGTCCAGACCAGGCACTGCCCCTCTCCACCACTCATGGAGCTGAGAGACCACCTCTTTGCAGCCTGCCCATGCACTCTTAACCAGAGGTAGCATGTTCTTCTGCAATGTAGGTATCCACATACAAGATTACATGGTGTCACATCGCTAAAACCACAATCTGAACCACTGCGAATGCAGCAACCTCAAAGCTTATCAATTCCAGTCACTGCATCTATCATTCAAGGAATTCAGTAAATTCTAATGAGAGTTCCAAGGCCTTCCGGCAACCCCTCCAGGTGAATGCTGGGATAGTTCCTTGACTACATCTCAGCGACTTCCTTCCAAATCTTATTGAATTCAATATTCACCTATCAGCCTGCAGTCCAGTGTTATACTGTAC